AACAATGTGGAAATCAAAGATGTCCCTGAGGGATGTATTTGTCTGAGTCAGTTCAAAACCCTTTAAACTGGTCTTTCAAAAGAACATGATGCTCTTATTTGTTCTGTTTTGCAGCAATGTGCTGATTAATGCTTGTGCAAATTTTGAGAAGAGTAGTTTGGCATAAGGATTTGCTTTCCTTCACCCCTTCTGCTCCCTTTTTTTTTTTTTTTTTGTGTTTTTTGTGGGCCTACAGCTGACTAAGCCAAGATCAAACTTTACAAGGACACTTTAAGAAACTTTGGTGCAAAGTGAGACAGAAAATATCAGGCTCCTTGTTGTCCTTGTTATGTGAAGGCAGAAGTGTACAGCTTTCTCACAGCTTCATTTTTACAAAACATACATTATAACCAATTTTTTTTTACTGGCACAGGAGATTTGCAGTTCTGGGAGGGATTCCTGGGAAGATCAAACTTCCTTAAACAATATGGGCAACTATATCAGAGAATCATGGAATCATAAAATAATGGAATCCTAAACACACAGAATCATAAACACATAGAATCAGAACCTTGCAGAATCACAGACTGGTTTGTGCTGAAGGGACTTTAAATCTCATTTTATTCTAACCTCCTGCCATGGTCAGGGACACCTTCCACCATCTCAGGTTGCTCAGAACCCCATCCAACCTGGACTTGGACACTGCCAGGAATGGGGCAGACACAGCTTTGGACATGTCCTAGTGTCTCACCACCCTCACAGTTAAGAATTTATTCTTAATCTCTAATCTAATCCTGCCCTCTGCCAGTGTAAAGCCATTCCCCTTGTCCTGTCACTCCATGGCCTTGCTCAAAGTCCCTCTCCAGCTCTCTTATAGCCCCTTTAGGCACTGGAAGGTCTCCTGGAGCCTCCTCTTCTCCAGGCTGAGCACCCCAGCTCTCTCAGCCTGACTCCAGAGCACCTCAGCACCTCTGGGGCCTCCTCTGGACTCACTCCAACAGCTGCACACCCTTCTAATATTGGAGGCCCAGATGTGGGCCCAGCTGTGCAGGTGGGGTCTCACCTGAGCAGAGCAGAGAGGCAGAATCCCCTCCCTCGACCTGCTCACCCTGCTGTGGATGCAAATCAGGACACATTTGGCTTTCTGGGCTGCCAGTGCACGCTCTTTGAGGGACAAACTTAAAACAGTTACCAACAGATACTACAGGAAAAGTATGAGCTCTTTTAAAGTATTGACCTCCCAGTCTCTGCTGACCAGGTTGTTATAACTACCATGGTGATGATCTCACATGAGAAACTCTCTGCTGAGCAGTAAACACCTAGCAGAAGAGGTGAGAATAGTAATTTCAAGCTTTCTTCACAGACAGTCCTTCTAGTTCAATATACCACAGATATTTTTAGTTGAAAACTCACTTTACCAGAGGACTGATGCTGCAGCCAGGGAACTTGCTGCTTCACTTTTGTCTCTGCCCTGATCTTTTAGTGTAAGCAATGAGATTCACAAAACTGCTTCTTATATCACAGCGGGAGGGGAAAAAAGGCTTGCTTCAAAATACAGCATGTCATATCATCTCTGTGTGAGTCAAAATACTGGGAAACTTAGTCTCCTGTAGAATATTTACCTGCCTTGGACTGAGTTGCAGGTTTTTAGTCAGTTTTAAAGAACAAAAAGCTGCAGTCTGATATCGCCTCCAGTGAAGAGCTCTAAGAAACTATTGTGAAGCACTTCAGGAGGGAACAGAGTAATAGCGAAGTGCCATTTATAAATATGACAAAAAAGGGTGCCAGGAAAACTGAGCAGGAAAAAGTAGACAGTATTTTCTGTGGAAGGAAAAGAATACAAGAAATATGAGCCACCGGGTCTAGGGGAAGGTGTTCCTACCCTTGGGAGAGGGGCTGGAACCAGATGATCTTTGAGGTCCCTTCCAGCCCAAAATATTCTGATTCTAAGATTTATGACTGTGTGATTCTGTGACTCTATGAAACAATTGCCTACATTGTTAGGGGAGGTTTGATGTCCCCAGGATTCTGTGATTCTAGGACACAGCTTCTAATTTACACTTAGGTCACAGAAAGATTATCTCTGCTCACTAATTGTGGGTCCCTGTTCCTTTGGTGGCTGGATCCCAGAGAAATTTGAGTCTAATATACAGCTGGGGTATGTGGATTGAGGCAATATGCCAGCTGCCAAGATGCCACCTTAAAATCCACTGGGGACCCATACAGAGCTGCTGAACATCTGATTGCTGGGGAGACTTTAGCTTGGGGGGTGTAAATGGGCTCACTGTCTAGGACAGGGCTAAAATCAAATATAGAGACTGGAGCCTACACCTGTAGGTGGAATGAAGCAGGAAAATATTGTCATTACTCTTGCTTGGCTATAAGCAAGAAGTTCCTGGGCCAAAGAGAGATTCAGTCAAGAAGCCAACCAAAAAAACAGTGGCAGCATGTTCAGAGACTTGTGAAATTTGGGCAACAAGAAAGACTGTACAGCAAACTTTGATATGACAAATGAGAGATGTTTCACTCTGCCCATCCATTTTTCTACCTCTGAGGGTGGTGTTTTGCAAAACATAGGCCAGCATGAAGAGTGAGTCTGCTCTCCCCTCTGCTGTTCCTGGCTCTGCACTTCTGCTGCTTTCTTTGTATTGTCAAGAACAAATTGAGTCTAAGGAAATGGCTTCCCAAGACATGGTGAGACAAATTAATAAGCTGTCCCTTCGTTTCCAGAAGGCAATATCTTCCTGCACGCTCTCATCTTTGCTGTCCCCCCTCATCTGCTCTCCCACTGCTCACCCTGTATGTTCTGAAGAGACTTTTCTGAGGTAATAGACCTCAGTGAAAGGGAGGAATACAAGCTCAGTGAAATATTGGCTATTTTTCTGTCTTTTCAGTGAGTTACATTAATTCAGTAAAAGGTCTGACAGCTGCTAGAGGCAGAACAAATGGTTTAAAGATAAAATTATGTGGCTAGGAATAGGGTGGGTGAGGGGCTGAGGTTAGTTAGGGATGGATGAAGAGATGAACACGGCAAGTGGAAATAGAGAGTTACTACAGGCAGAAGGTGTCTGGTTGGTCCAGGAGCGTGGGCACTTAGAGAAAAGATGGGGAAAGAGTATTTACTAGAGCCTGTAGTGACAGAGAATGGTTTCAAGTTGAAAGAGAGTAGGTTTAGATCAGATATTAGGAAAAAGTTATTTACTGAGAGGATGGGGAGGCCCTGGCAGAGGTTGCCCAGAGAAGCTGTGGATGCTCCATATGTGAAAGTGTTAAAGGCCAGACTGGATGGGAATCTGAGTAACCTGATCTAGTAGAAGGTGTCCATGCCCATGGAAGGAACAAGACAACCTTTAAAGGCCCTCCCAGCCCAAACCAGTCTGTGATTCCACTGCAGAGCACATTCAGGGCAGGTACTCAAGGTGCAGCTGCAGCTCCAGCTGCAGGTTGAGGGGTCAGGAGACCCAGGCAAAAGCTCATGACCTGCTGGTCCTTGGCACAACAAAGGGCACAAGGACCTGTGGCCCAGGAAAGAGACCCAAGGGCTCCAGACTTTCCCCACACTGAATCTGCAAGGGGATAAAAGCCCAGGGCTTCCTTGGTTCAGTCCCTGGAGACACCCAGCTCAAGTTGTTTTGTTATGGCACCAAGATTAAATGTGTAGGATCTCTACTTCTGCGTCTCTGCTGTAGGAAACCTGGGGTTGAGCTGGTGAGGAAACCTGATTTGACCACGAGTGTGGGGTTTGTGCAAGGACCAAAGCCAGGCCCTGGAGCTGCTGGTGGACGTGGTGTGGATTTAACTGCTAGGGTGGCTCCTGGGTGATCTGACAGGGAAGGTTCCTTAACAGTTCTATGATTTACCTTTCCAGTTAATTTTTCAGAATTTCACCTACAGAAATAATTTAATCCCACTGTTCCTCATGCACTGAATTAACCCAGGGGCTTGGCAACCCTGCAAACACCTGTCAGACCTCAGTGAGATGGCTGCTGGTGGAAATAGGAGCCAGAGAAATCTCACTTTGAATTACAAACTTTATTTTCACATGCTGTTCATGCTGGTTTGTGACAAGGCTTTCTTGGGTTTGTTTTGTTCTAACAAAAGTGTCTCTGTCTTTTTAAAAGCAATGGCTGCTTCTTAATGCAATGAGATTTTTCTTAATAATGACACAGCACATAATCCTGAAAGCCTGGGTTTACACCCATTTTCCATTTGGAAAAATGACCTTTTATACTATTATTGGAACTAGCTAGCAGACTTTGGCATCTGAATTTTGTTTCCTTTGTACCATAGAAAATAATTCAAAACCTGTTGCTCAGTGCACTGGTTTTGACTTGTGTGGAGTTAATTTTTCCTTAGTAGCTGGTACAGTGCTGTATTTTAGATTTAGAATAAGAATAATGTTGGTAAAATATTGATGTTTTGGTTTTGCTAAGCCTGGTTTATTCTAAGTTGGGAACATTTTTTGTGGCTTTTTTGTTTTTTTTTTTTTTTTTTTTGTTGTTTTTTGTTTTGGTTTTTTGGTTTTTTTTTTTTTTTTTTTTTTTTTTTTTTTGTGTACAGGGGGATTGTTTGATGCATTTTTTTTTCTGTTTTGGGGTTTGTTTTTGTTTTTGGTTTTTGGGGTTTTTTAATTGTTATGAGGTTTTTTGTTAGGGCATTGGGTTTTTTTGGGCTTTTCTTTGGTCTTATTTTCTACTAATGAGAATGTAGATAAACAAAATGGCAGGGAAGCACAGCCAGGACAGATGACCCAAACTGACGAAAAGGATATTCCACCCCAGAGAATGGCTTGCACAGTTTATAAACTGGGGGAGTTATCTGGAACACGGCCTATTCTGGGTTCAGAGAGGCAACTCTGGAATTGTTGGTCAGTAGATAGTGAGCACTTGTATTGTGCATCACGTTTGCTTGGTATTTTTTCTCCTTAGCTGTATTATTAATACTATTATTATTATCATTTACATCTATTACAATATTTGACTTTGTTTTCAGTTACTAAGCTTCTCTAAATGATTAATTTTTAAGCTTCTCTAAATGATCTGTAAGTTTTACTTTTGATTCTTCTCCCCACTCCAGCAGGGTGGAGGGGAAGAGAAGGGTGTTGAGCAAGGGCTGCGAGGTGCTTAATTTCTGGCTGGGGCTGGAACCACGAGAGGGTACTTGGGTATTTGGGGGTAGACACAGACAGCACAGCTGACCCTAGGTTAGGGTAGGGCACCTCAAAGGGATATTCCATGCTGTATTCCATCGGGATCAGTTCATAAAGAGGGAGAAAGAAGGAAGAAGGAGGGACCTGCCAGGTGTCTGCTGGAAACCCAACACAGCAGGGGCAGCCTGGGAGGGTCCTGGAGTGTGTGGATGAGAACTTCACCTCCTGGCATAGCTGGTGAGCCCACCAGGGGAACCACCTCTGGAAAAAGAGGCAGGCAGCTCAGGAAGTGTTTATGGGTGTTTTTAGGTCAGGTAGAAAGAAAATTAGAGCAGCAAAAGCTCAGAACTTATTTGCCCAATTTTGTCAAGGATAATAAGTTGTTTTATGAATACATTAATGGCAATAGGAGGGCCAAGGAAAACCTCCATTCCTTAATGGACCCAGAAGGGAATACAGTCACCAAAAGTGAGGAAAAGGCTGAGGTACTTAACGCTCTCCCTGGAGGTGTTAAGGAAAAACTGGATATGACAGTGCCAAGGTGGTGTTGGGTCAGAGGATGGACTCAAGGACCTCAGAGTGATTGACTCTGTGATTCTGAGGACATGCTCAGAATTATGGCATTTGTCTTCCCATGGGCTGGCAGGTATTCACCCATCTCCAGGAAAGATGGGCTCCATCACCTCTTACAGTGACTTGGGAAGATAAATGCCTTAACTCCAAACGTGTCCCATTCCTTTTCCTTCTCCCTCCCCTTTTAATACTCCGAGCTCAATGTTCTACTGTCCAGCAGGTCCCTTTGGGCAGTTTTGCTCAGCTCTCTGTCTGTGTCTACTCCCAATTCCCCACCCAGCCCCAGCCCAAAGCAGCACCTGGGGACGCTGCCCGCTCTCACTGCAGGATCAGGAAGGTGCCTGGGCAGCCCTGCTCCACGGCAAACACCAGCTCAGCGCAGAGCTGCATGCCGGAGGGGCCGCTCAGCAGCAGCGGGCAGGAGTGGGAGCTGGGCAGCACCGTCAGCTGCCAGTCCTGCCACTGGGGCAGGCGCTCCCAGGCTGTCGGCACCAGGTTCTGCACCCAGCAGGCGATTTCCTCCACGTCCAGGTAGGAGCCTGTGCAGAGGTTCTGCAGCAGGGGTGAGCGCTGGCCGCTCTCATTGGTCTTGGAGGGGTGGACAAAACACGGAATATTCTCCATTTTCCTCGAGCAGGTGCACTCCAGCACCACACGGATGTTGGAGCACCTCTCTGGCAGACGTGTCCCACCATAGAGCTCCAGCTTGAAAGAGTGCCTGGAGGGTGGCTGCAGGAACACGAGCAGCTGGTACAAGATTCGGTCCTCAAAGATACTCCAGGATTCATGGGTGCTGCTCTTCCCAGTTGCCGGGTACATCTCCAGCATGAAAGTGTCCTTGGAAAGCACTCGGCAGACACGGAGGACGTCATGCATCATCTTCTTCACGTCCCTGCACGTGTCAGACAGTCCCTGAACTGACATTACGTTGGGGACAGAAAACAACCTCACACTGTGGCGTTGTCCCTTGAGGGTTTTCTTCTCTTCATCATCTTTCTCTTTGCTGCTAGAGGTTTCCTGCTCATAGCAGGTACAAGTTGTAAGCTTCATTTGCCAGGCCAGCCAGCAGACCTCCACGAGCATGACTGCCGCAGCAGCCCAGAAGAGACAGAGCTGCAACCCAGAGAGGAGTGGGGCTTCTTGTGGGGACCTGATCCACCCAATCTCCTGCAGCAGCCGCTTCATCTCCTGCTGCAGAAACTCCTTACGCTGCTGCATCTCCTGGGCTGTGATCACATTGATCGGTAGGTGTTGTATCTGCTTGAGCAGGACGGTCAGCACAAGCACGAAGACCGTGGTTGCTGCAGCCATGGCCTGGAGGAGATGGGAGAAAAGTTTATCCAGGAGAGATGAACAGGCTTGAAGGGACCACAGACCCTGTCTGAGACAGCACAGGGCCCATCCTGCCCAGGCCACCCTGATGGTCATCCCCAGCTGGGCTGTGCCCCAGGAAAGGGCAAGACACACCTCAGCAGTCTCCTGAGGCCCCATCCCTGCCATGCTGGAGCATTCCATGGAGCCAGGGGCACCTGGCACATCCCCAAAGCCTCTCTGGCACCCCTGGGATCCCTGAGTTTTCTGTCCCCCAGCCCAGAGAGTGGCACCCTGCCCTGCCCTGAGGGGCCCAGGCCCCACTCAGAGTTAGAAACCCCCCTGGGCATCTGTCCCACTCCCCATCCATCCCAGCCTTCCCTGTGCATGTGCACTCACCAGCTGCCCAAGGAGGGGTTGCAGGGTGGCTGCCTGGTATTGTCCCTGGGGATGGCTCCCACTGTCACCTGTTCTCTGCAATGTCACAGCCACCAGAGCTGGCAAACTGCAGACTTCAACCCTACACCCTGCTCAGTGGTTTCTGGGCATCGCTGTACCAAGTCCAAACCCGCTGCAGGAGTCCCAGGGGGTCTCTTGGCAAAGCAGGGACAGGCCCAAAAGCAGCACAGAGAGCCCCAGTCCCACTGTCCCCAGCCCCAAGGGCAGGACCTTGTCCTGCTCTGAAGGGCTCAGCCCTCACTCAGGTTAGGAACTCCCCTGGGCTCTGTCCAGTCCCCCAACCACCCCAGCCTTCCCTGTGCACTGCACACACGAATCACGCAAGCCCAGCTGCAGTGGGGCTGCCTGGTGCTGTCCCTAGGGACAGACCCCACTGTGACCCATCCTCTGTGATGTCACAGCCACCAGAGCCTCATCACCCAGCTGACAAGTCCCAGACCCCATCCCCACCCCCTCAGTGAGCTCTCGACATCAGCCCAGGTACAACAGCACCGGGCAGGAGTTCCTGGGCTCTCCTGACAAAGTGGGCAGCCCAAGCCACCCCTGGTCATCCCCTGGCTGGGCTGGGCCCCATGAAAGGACAAGAGACACCCAAGACACCCAGAGGCACCAAGAGTGTCCCGAGGCCCCATCCCTGCAACAGTGTGCCAGAAAACCCTGGGAACCCGGCAGGTGTGCCATCCCCAAAGCCTCTCTGGGCACCTGGAACCCCCCAGGAGCCCTGAGCCCCCCTGACCCCGGCCCCAAGGGTGGTCCTGGTATGGACTGACAGACACTGGGATGGACTGACTGACCCTGGGATGGACTGACAGACCCTGGTACTGACTGACTGAACCTGGGATGGACTGACAGACTCTGGTACTGACTGACTGACCCTGGGATGGACTGACTGACCCTGGGATGGACTGACAGACTCAGGGATGGACTGACTGACTGACCCTGGGATGGACTGACTGACCCTGGGATGGACTGACAGACCCTGGGATGGACTGACTGACCCTGGGATGGACTGACAGACTCAGGGATGGACTGACTGACAGACCCTGGGATGGACTGACAGACCCTGGGATAGACTGAGAGACTCAGGGATGGACTGACTGACCCTGGGATGGACTGACAGACCCTGGGCACCAGGGCTATACATGGTCCATGATCCCAACCCAATGGACAGAGCTGTGACCTTTGAACTGATGGTTGTCCCACATAAAGAAACATCACGTGTGATCTCTCTCTGATCACACCTCTAAAACTTTGACCTTTGCTGTGGTTGGGTCAGTTATTTCAATGGATTCTATAAATCCAGTTGGGTTCTCAGAGCAGTCTGATTTGGATTTACCTAACTCTGGAAAGAGATACAGGTGGATCTAAGAAAGATTTCAGGTGATGTTATTGTGTGCCTGAAGAATTTCAGGATATAGAATGAAGTTCCTAACCTTAAATTCTAGAGTTGCACTGCAAAGGTCTTTTCTGAAATGAGCTCCATTTGGCTTTTTGATTTTCTCATAGAAAATGAAGAAATGTATTGGGCATTGCATGCTACATAGTTCATGTCTGACAACTGGACAGTTCAATAAACTAATTCTGCACTGCCCTCAAAGGAAAAGTTTTGGGAAAAAAATCACAAGGTTCTGTTTTTTTTCTGGTAGGCTTTTTCTTCCTCTTATCTAATTTCAGTTATCTTTATAAAAGCATCTCTCGTATCTTTATTTTTTTTCCCTGAATCAGATTAACCTAGCACAGTGTTTAATAATGAATTCCACTCAGCATGCCAGTAGAACAGAAAAGTTCTTTTGTCTGATCTTTGACAAGTTCTCTAATAGGTAAAAATGAGATCCAGAGGGTAGAATATACTAATAAATTATGAAAAGAATTTATTAGAATTTCTGAAAGGTATTTGACTTATCTCATAGAACATTTAATGTGGTTTCATGATTATCAGCCCTTTTCAGCTTGTTGCTTTAGAAGTGCATGAGGAGCCAAGGACAACATTTGCAAATCATTTTTCCATCTTAACAGACTGTTCCCATAAAACTGTTACTGTTCTTTAACAGTAACTTCAGTATTCAGCCTTACTAGAAGGACTGCAAAATATTTAGATACAAGCTCTAAACCCTGTATTAAACTCTTTTAGTTCTGTGAGGAAGCTCAGCTTGGTGGGTAGCATCAATCTTTATAGTAGCCTGAAACAAGTACCTGAAACTTCTGGATTTTATCTCAGTCCTGTTCTGTTCAGTGACTTATTTTGTCTGTTCACTTGGTAAAACACATATGATGTGAGTCCCTTAGGAACTTCATCCTGTAAGTAATAAATGAGTCTGCAGCATCTGCTTTATTGATGTGATGGATTGATAGCCAGCCTGATGATTGGCATTATGTAAATCACAGCAAAATCAGAAGCCATACTACTAAAATTTAGATTAATGTCACCTATAATTAGACATCTAGTTATTTGTCATGATTGCTATGTCTTATTTTGTTGCCTTTTTCTAAAATGCAAATTATAAGCAGGAATGGAATATATCTAAATTTAGGCACACTTGGATCTAATCTGCAGTTTGAATGTGGTAAATTTTAAACACTGAGAACATTTGGATGAACTTTCAGGTGACAACATCCCAAAACAAAGAGGCTCTTGAGCTTTGTGGTTTTGCTGATCTGGGTTATTGTTTAAGGCTCCTTGGGTATTGTAAAAGTATTTCTCAGTATAGGACAGATGAGCCCTGAGCCCTATGAGCCAATTTTCTGCAGTGCTTGGATAAACGCTAATTTAGATGCCCTACAACAGTCTAATATGTTTATCAATACATATTAATATAGAGGCATGTAAATATATGTCTGTATTTGTTCAGAGACCTGAATAAATAGAGGAATGCATTTAATTAGGTAGGGTGATCTCTGCCTTCCATTGTTAATGATTAAAATCTTGGAGCTCCCACTTGCAGACAGCTGCAGGATCAGGAAGAGCAAAAAGTGTTTGACTGCTGTCATTGCACTGACAGCCATTCTCTGTCTCCTGGTGCCCTGAGATACATAAAGTCCTTAGACAACAGACCAAATCTGAGGAAATAATGCAGAATGAAGGCAATATTTAGAAGTTTATGTCATCCTGCAGGTGTGCAAAAAATCTTTCAGACAGAAAAGTGACGTATTGGCCTCATTAGAGACAAAGAGGGACTAAGAACTGCATTTCTGAGGGTGGTTAATAATTAAAGGAGGACTTTAGGTTGTACTGAATGGAAGGAATTAGCCAGCTGTAGTTTGGGTATCATTGTGTAAAAGTCCATGCAATTAAACAGCATGAACTGAGATGTCGTGAGACCAGTCTAAACTCAGGTGGTGACTTCCTCCTTCTGACACGTGTGGATTCCAGTGTTTCTCCCACACCAGCAACCTACTTAGACATTTGTAAATCATCATATTTGACTGAATGTGCTGCAAATCTTTTTATAAAGGCAACACTCATCTTGATGGAAAACCACATAAATCCTGGAATTACAGTTTTTCTTTCCCAGTCCTGAATGGGAAGAAGTTCTTGCCAAGGCAGTGCTCTGAAAGACTTGTTCACAGATGATCACATCTGTGTCCAGATGAAATTAAAATGGCAAAGCCATTGGGGACCAATTCATAGCAGATGACAAAGAGGAAAGAAACAGGGAAAATAAATTTAGAACTGACATTTTCCTTAATGACTGCTTCTTTGAACTTCTCTTAGAAACAGCTAGTTCTACTGCCAGGGGCTGATTTTTTCCAGGGTCTGTTGCAAAACTCAGCTGAATTTTGCAGCTGTTTTCAAGCACTAAAACCGCAGGGCCTAAATATATAGACATACATTGATGAACCTCCTTATAAGTAATGATGAACAAATAATTCTAATGACTCTACTTGCTTTCTCCCAGTAGGTATCTGGGTTCACTGAGAAGATACCACATGTTCTTATTCTTTGTTTATTTTTGTTAGCTTTTTTTGTTAATGTTTGCTGCACAATCACGTTATGCCCTAGAGTAACTGCAGGGAGTTTCTTAAAAACTTTTCTCTGTACAGTGACATTTGGCTATCTCAGCCACCTCTTTATGTTCTGTACTAGCCATAGTATCTTATTGGTAATATGAGTCAAAACTTCCACATTCAGTCACTTATAACTGAGTTTTTATAATAACAATCCATATTCTAAGGCAGCTGATCATCCAGTAATTTTTGGACTTTTCAGTCCAGAAAGTATAGAAAATGGGTTTGCAGGAAAATTCTGCCTTTATAATGAAAGGCTGAATATTTATCAGGAAAACCTTGGAAGAAAATGAAGTTTCTTTGCTTGTCCCAGTAAATCCTCTTATCCTTCTGTAGATAGAGCCTTACCAAGGTATCCTATTTATCTGTATTGGAGCACAGAAACTGTAATCCAGGATTCTCACCCCACCTGAGTATCATGAGGACACACCTTTCCTAAATAATTTACTGTGCAAAGTGATTACTTAGGAACTTCTCATGTGCCACCTTCTTTTTCACCCTTCAGCACTCGTACTGGGATTGCCAGCAGTGTCTTCACTAAGAGAGCAATTAATAAACTGGGGGATTGGACAAAATGAATGTTAGACCTGTTGGCATTTGCTAAAGAGGGAGCTGTGTTAAATACCCCACTCAGAGATTTTCTAAGTGATTTATTGACTTCAGTCTTCCTCCTCATACTTGTGCTGCAGGATGTGTTTACCTGTGTCAAACAGGGCAAGAGTGAGGTGTCTCTGGGCAGCAGATTTGCTGGTTGACTTGAACCCTTTGAAGGCTGTAGGTCTCAGTGGTGCCATTTTTTGGTTTCCAAACTCAGTGAGGTAAATTAGCGCATCAGGACACATTTAACGGAGGCTCACGTGGCTGTGGCCTGTGTACAGAATTGCTCTAGACACAAGAACTGAATGATTAGTCATGACCCATCTCAATTAGCTACAGGGAACTAGAGATTTCCAGGCTCATTTCAGATAATCCTTAAAAAATCGAATAGTTTGTATCAAACTCACCCAAAGCATATGAACCCAATTGCAAATTTCAACCAAAAATCACATTGGAATTTCTCTCTGTGTTGCAGCTTGCCTCCCAGCCAGTCTGTTGGTAATATTATGAAAATAACTTTTCCATCATGGTTGTATGTCCATTTTGGGGCCTGAATCCTATGTGCCATGGGGTTGCCTGACAGTGGTCTCAAAGAGGCTGAAATAAGAAAATCAGATGGCTTCTATTTGCAGGAAAGACTGAGATGTGAAAGCTTCAAGAGCTCAATTAGGAAATGAACTGCAGGAAAATATTTGAAGTCTGGAAAGTTCTGAATTAGTTAATAAGGGATTTTTTGTTATGATTAGATTTGAATGATATCATTTGACTTCTTATTCCAAACCCATAGTGACTCTTTAATACATTACCCACAACCCTTTTATGCAGCAAAACCATTAGCTCAGCTGTGTGATTACAGTGCCTGACCCACACTCGGATTTTTCAATCATAAATACAGCTGCTAAATTTTGGATTAAAAAGGGGCATTGTAGAAAATGTCAGAACTGGGAACTGAACTCAGCCTTTGCTCCACTAAGTAGTTGTTAGAAAGCTAGACTGAAAGAGAATGGTTTTTGTAAATATTACTTTCTTCCACATTTTTCTGCTCTATTTGTTTTGCATGTACACAGCAATAGCTACTTCTGAAAACTCTAAAAGGTATGATTTACAACCTGTTTTAAAGCAATGATTGTGCATTACTAAGTTGGAGCAGACTTTTATTCAGCAGTCTTTCATCTAAATGTGCTTTCTGAACATAAGCTTGGATTTTTTTCTCTTGTGCTCTGTGCAGAGCTGTGCACCTTGGGATTTTCATCTGAACAGACAAAATTAGAATTTTTTCAACACAGAGGCACATTTTGAACAAGAGAGGTCCCTTTTGATTAGAATCTTCCTGGAAGTAGTTTGTGTTGAGTGTCTCTGAGGTTGAGAAAGCTATTGAGCTTCCTCTCCCATCTCTCACCGGAATATCCTGTAGGATCACGGAATTGATACTGCTGGAAAATACATCTGAGGTCATCAATTCCAACCATTAACCCAGCACTAAACCATGTCCCCAAATGCCACACCCAAATGGTTTTGGAACACTTACAGGGATGGTGGCTCTACCACTTCCCCAGGCAGCTTTTTACAATACTTGGCCACCTTCCCAGTGAAGAAATTTTCCCTAATATTTGATCCAAACCTGCCTGGCACAACTTGAGACCATTTCCTCTTGTCCAGTCCCTGAGAGCAGAGCCCAAATCCCCTGGCACCCTCCTGTCAAGGAGTTGTGCAGAGCAAGAAGGTCCCTCCTGAGCCTCTTTTTCTCTGAGTGCCCCCAGCTCCCTCAGCCTCTCCTGGTGCTCCCGACCCTTCCTCAGCTCTGTTCCCTTCTCTGGACATGCTCCAGCCCCTCCATGTCTTTCTTGCCCCTCAGCCCCCCCAGTCCTCTCAGCCTCTTCAGCTCTTCAGCAGCTCCCCAGTCCCTTCAGCCCAATTGTCCCACTCAGCTGGAGCCCAGGGGTGACACCGGGTGATCCCCAGGAGGTGACACTGGCAGATCCCGGCCCTGACCCCAGTATGGTGTTGGCTTTGTCCCCCTGCTCCCATCCCAGGGGGAGGACACAGCCATGGGGGACTCCTGGCTGGGCCTGGGGTGGCATAGCAGGGAATCAGGAGGGGGAGGACAGGCCAAGTTCTCCCACAGGAATGTCATTGTGTCCCACAGGGTGACATTGGTGAGGAGAGGGTGGGGAAGGAGCTGATGGGCCCTGCTGTCACCCCAGCCCTTCAGGGAACAGCTCCACAAAGGACAGAGGGACTGCTCCTGGCAGTGACAGATGGACCTGGCATGGAGTGACGGACTCCTGGGATGGACTGACAGACTCCTGGGATGGACTGACTGACCCTGGGCATCAGGGAAACACACACTCCATGATCCCAAATGAACCGACAGAGCCGTGGCCTTTGACCTCACGGTTGCCCTACCTAAAGAAACATCACATGTAAGATAAAGCTCTCTCTAGCTCTGTCTCTCTCTCTCTCTCTCTGACCTTATCTCTAAAATTTTGACCTTTGCAGTGGTTGGGTCAGTTATTTCAAGGGACTCTGTAAATTCAGTTGAGTGCGCACAAAAGACTGATTTGGGTTTACTCAGCTCTGGAAAGAGATGCAGGTGGTTCTAGGGAGGATTTCTGGGGAGGTTATTATGTGCCTGAAGAATGTCAGGATCCAGAATGATATTCCTAAGTTTAAGTGCCTGAGTTGTGCTTAAGATCCCTTTCCTGTGTGTCTAGATCTTTTTCTGGCTCAGTACCTACTTGATTTCCAGTTTTTTCTCTTTGCCATTTCCATGATACCATTGGACTGTATTGCCACTTGCATCCTGCTTCCATAGTATATGATCTGAAATATCTTTTTAATAAATTTTTATTTTAGCTACTTGCATTCATTTCAGTTCATGATGCAAGTTTTTGAGTTTTTAAAAAGAATTAACTTTTTGTTCTGTAAAGTGACAGAAAGTGGCCTGGGGAAGTGTTTGTATGTTTGTTTGCTTTCCCTAGTGTAACCTGAGATGCTTTTTGTTTTGTTCAGTGAGATTCCTCTAGGATGAGAAAAGCTCTAGTTTTGATCACATCAAGTTTGAGTGCCATAAAGAGAAGATGTATTTTTCATCTTTGAGGAGACTTAACATAGTCTGAAGAAAGAAGGATGTCACGAGCATAAGAGAGAGGGAGATAACTGTACATTTATATTCTAGACTTCTTTTCTTGCTCCTTGGCATTTTGAGAGAAAATAACACAAAATAAGTTTTGCAGCTTGAAATATTTCTTTATGCCAAATTAGTTTTTATCTTAATTCTGAAAATGGGTTGCTCAAAATGTCAGTGTCTGCTAGTTACTAAGTAAGGCTTGCATTCATCTATTCATTTTAATGTTAAAAAGAGGAAGGAAACAAGGGACAAAATGCTCTTTATTCTGTACTACAAGACAAAATATTCTGTTTGGGTGATAGGTGAAGCAGGACCATACATTGTGATAAGTGAGGGACAGAAGAAATGACTTCCTGAGGACAACCAGTTGATGCACTTTGGTCTCCAAGTAGGACATGCCATAATTCAATCAATGGTGCAAATTTAATCAATTTAATCAAGGAAGTGACACTCTCAGTGTTACACCATGGTTATCTGTTTTCTTATTCAGTGCTTGTGGAGAGGACAGCACAGGTGAGACGGGAAAATCACTGGAATTATCTTGGTCCAAATTCTATACAAATAAGAACTTAAATTTGTTATCTACACTGGTGCTTAAATAGTTCATACCTTGCTATAATCTGTGGGAAACTGTGACTGATACTCAGCTCAAGATGGTAGTCACTGAAATGTCAGTGCCTACATCACAAGGTGGGTGTCTAAGCTCCTTTTATCACCAGTGAGAGTCACAGAATAGAATTAATGACGTTTTAGAGGTTCTTCTTACCCTGAGTGGAAATGCACATTTCATCCACCTGGGCAGCTCCTTGGACTCCAGGCTTCCTGAATCTTACCAAGTCTCTAGTGACTGATGAGAGAAGGGACATGAAGCCTAATTTGTAAATATTTATGTTTTGTTTCTAACTCAGAATAAAATCCCACCTTTTGGCTGAGTTCTCTTCTTCCCAGTGCCATTTGAGATGCCCTAAATTATCCAAAACACCAGGACTGCTCTGTCAGGGCTGACGAGGACCACCTGAGCCCTTTCACAGCTGGAGAGCAGATGTCTCCTGAAAGGCACTCAGGAGTCTCCCTAATAACACCAGGCAACTGTGACAGCAATTGCATCACATTCTTTTCATCTGGCTATAAAAAGTAGTACAACCATTTTTCATCTCTTCTTTTAACCTCCAAATATAGTCTTTCCTTTATAGCACATTTCAGACTGGTGTATCATCTGTTATTAAGTATTGCCTAGGCAATGCTGAAAGAAGAAAGGAAAATTAAAGTTTAAATAAATGAAAGTGGGAATTAAAAGGCAAGATCAAGAAAAAGGAAAAGTAATCTTCAGTGATTAGAAAATAACCCATCTCTGTTACTTTATTTTTATTTTAGGAAGGATTAATTGCCAAGGATTAGGATTCTCCAGATTCCTAAAATTCTCAACAAATTGCTTTTAACAGCCAAAAGATGGAACAAGCAGAAATCTTTTTTTGAGGATGTAGGGATAAGGGTCTTCTCTCACTCTTGTCTGCTAAACAGATTGCAAGGAGTTATATCTGCATAAGAATTAAACCCATTATCAAGTATAACTCTAGTACAAGTCTTTTTCTCACACTTTGTTCTCTGAAATAATCCTATTAAAATAAGAAAATTTATTACATACCTATCTGCCCAGATTTTATCAATATTGAAACCTTTTAAACAGAATATGTGATGAAATAAACCCCGCTCACCAATATGGTCAAATATAATAGACATCAAAGCAGCTAAAAGCCCTCCTAAATCAATGCAGTAACTCTGCAGCAATTTCTAGAACAGAAGGTGAAAATCCCCTTAATAAGTGATAAATGAAGGAAAATGTATAGGAGCAGATTTATAGAATACCACATTTGCACTCTTAAAAGACCTTCATTATGTCATTAACACCGCAGTGATGAAAAGCACTTCCATCGTTCATCAACCACATTGTGTCTGTCCTGCCGTTAAACAGATGGAATAATCCCTGATCCAAGTTCCCAAAACTTTTAGAGTACACTTACTTGCATTTTCTTGCCCTAGGCCAATCCATTTAACAACCCATCTTAGCCAGGTCGGCCAGGTCTTCAAGCTGAATGTTATGAATAAGAAGCAGATTGAAAGTGACCTTTATTCTCCCTCCTCCTTCCTCTACCAAAGCCTGGCTTGTAACATCTCAGAGAATATAAAGTCCAAGTTTCTATTCTTTCAAGGACATTCAGGAATTTTCCAGTATCCATAAATAAATAAATGGCTTAAATGTCATGATTAATTCTTTCATAATTTCATTCAATTATTGCATCATGGTTTATAATGTGCTGATAACTGACATTTAGTAAATACATATTAGCTTGGAGCTGCCTATCAATGCTGCCAACCATTGCTTGAGCCATTCTTTCAATCATTTCAACAGTTCTGTAGCTTCTGTCTCCAAGTCACAACCTCTGTCAAGAATATATTTTGTCATGCAACATGCACAACAAGATGATACCTTCCAAAGAAGGAAGCTTGAATTAAAAAACACAAACATGTCAAAAGATGAAGGTCCAGTTTTTCTTCTGTTTTTAAATATGTTTGCTTTTGTTTTAGTCACAGCTGTTCCTTAGCACTGCCTAACAACACATCTTTATCCTTCAGGTGTCTTCTGTCATCTGCCATTTAACAAGCTGACTTCAGATACGACCTAAAATTAAGAATATCCAGATCATTTCCCTTTGCCATCCTCCACTTCTGTTTTGGGAATATCTATCTAATCAAAAGGTGTGGGTGAGTGCAGAAAAAAAAAAAAAAAACCCAAAATAACCATGAGAAAGTTAAGGCTGGATGAAAAAACAAGGTAAAAGGAGAGGGAGGAGCACGTTTACCTATCTCAGGGACCTGTCAAACTTTGGTGGCAGTCTTCAGCTGGAATGGGTTCTGAACAAAGGAACAGCAATCTCCCAGAGCTTACTCCACTTTCAAGCTTCAGCTCTGCAGGTGGTTAAACAATAGATGATCTTGGATATCTGGCTGAATAAAACAGGCATTTGCTTTAGTGCCTTGTCATCATCCCTTTGCTCTTTTCACTTCCAGCAGCCTTAGATGACCCACGCAGCTGAGTTTGGATTCATTCAATTGCTCCCTGTCATTTTATGGGAAACCTTGCAGTCTATCATAGATGAAATTACAGTGGACTGCAGAACATCTGAGGGGCTGTGCTAAAATGGTTTTTAGACAGTAAATCAAATATTATCTAGCAACCAAAACCTGTTCTTCCAATCAACCCTTTGCTAGGTCTTTGTGCATCTCATATTGATTATTTCTTTCTCTTTTCCCAGGTGGGCATAGAAGCATAGGGCTGATGAGCTGGAGGAGAGTCTGTTCATCCTGTAATCTGTGTTAAACATTGCACTTGAAATGGCTGATTAGTGAGATGTTCATTAATGATACAGATGAATTTTCATCTTGTGGCTGGAATGATATTAAAATTCTCGGAGATATGTATGTCCTTCTGATGGACAGATGTCCCCTGCTGCCTTTTTCTCTTTAGGGGGATTTTTTATCTTCTCTTTCAAGGGACTTGATTTTCTGTTGATTTATGTCTATTTTAGAGTCCCTTATCTCTTTCACTTCTTGCTTCTGCTTTCGGAATCTCTCTCTTTCTTTCCTTCAGGGGCCTATTTCTCTTTGTTCTGTCTCTCATTTTCAGTGTCTGACACATCTGCTCCTGCCTCTCTCGATGTACAGTGTGATAGATGGAACATAACTGGAGAAAAAAAGAAAGTTTCAGTTCTCCCAGCAAGTGGAAAGGTGACCTGCAAACATTTGAACAAAAAAAGGGAAGAAAGTTTATTTTTATGCACTGAATATTCTGCACAGCAAGAGACACAGCACATTTAGAGACTGCACAGGAGACACTTTAAACACCACCTACTCCATAGTCCACCCCATTAAATTCTGTGCACAGTTTTTCTCTTGATCTGTGTCTGTGTGCATATTTATATAAAACCAGCTCTGCTAATAGAGGGCCATGTTTGAAATGTGATAGTTTTCCAATTGTTTTCAAAGGGGTTTGGATCCTCAAAGAATTTGCCTTTCCTGCTGTGAAATCAGTTCTAGGCCACCTGGCCAAAGAGGGAACCAAGGAATCTGATTCCTATTTCAGATTTCAGATTTTCAGACTCTTAAAAACATTTGCAGCAGCTTGTTTTATGATCATGTTTCAAATTCAGAGTCTGCTTTGGGGAAATTTTAATGATTTTTAATTACTTCAGGACAAAATAAATATGGTAAAGCTGAGGGCAAATATTTTTATTCATGGATGAAAAAGAAGAAAGGTTATCCCAACCAGATCTGCTTTTACAAGTAAGGAATTACCGTGGGCTTTCCAGAAAGACTTTATTTTCTCTAATGAGATGTGTCTATGATTGTCACTTTTGCATATTGTGTTTGCAGCCAGAGCTGCGAGGTCTTGGTTGCTGGCCCAGTTGCTCAGATTTTGGGAGGTTTGAGAGTAAAGCAAGAGACAATTGCCAGGAGGTTCCTGCTGTGGAGCCAGGAGGTAATCTTTGACAAGAGGTGGAATACCCATGCTCAGTTTCAGGGATTTTGCCAGATTGGAGCCATGTGGGATGTACTCCCATGTGGGAGCTGTCTGGAACACCCAAAAATCACCCATGTAATCTTCCTGCATATTTGGAAAATGCTCCTCGTAAAACCCTGTCTGTGTTTTGTCAGATCATCTGAACAAATACTGTTCTACAAAGCATTGACTTCCAGATTAATGGGTCGGGGTGATTCCTATTTTTTGTTGTTTTTTCTCTTAATTTAAAAAGCGTTTTATTGGAAAATTGCAACTAGCTGTAATAGAAACTGCAAATTTGTTTCACATATGCCACCCCAGAGTCGCCAACTGGCATGGTAAATAAGTAACAATTTATAAAGTGAAGCAATCTGAGAACATTCCCCAGCAGTTAACACATGCAAGGTATGAATATGCATGAGCCATTTTCAGGTTGTTATGGTGTACATTTTCATTCTGAAACAATTATAAAAAGCATTATTAGAAAGGTGTTAAATGTGTCAGAGAAGCATTTGGCACAGTCATTTTCACAGAGCTCTTCATTTTGGGGCATTGCTGGTTTTCTTGTGATTGGTTTTTAAAAATCCAATAAAATAATGCTGATAAAAGATTTTTCTTGATAGTAGTAAGCTGATTTCCTAGGAGAGGATTCAACTTAAACAGCCTGTTCCCATTTAAGGTCTCATTCAGGAAATCAGTGCCTGTGTTTTCAGAAGCAATCACCAAAGGTTTAAGCCTGGCCTGGCCTGTTCTTCACTGAATCTGCTTGGAGTGAAATGTGCCCAATCCAGCCAAATGAGCAAGAATTTAGTGCAAAAAGGCATGGCTTTGATATCTGTAAGCTCTGGGAAGTCGCTGGCTGGATGAACAGGACTGAGTGGTCCCTCCTGCAGGGATGTTGGAATCACAAGCAGAGGACAGGGCAGGAGCTGTGAGCATTCACTCTGTTGGGTGCCAGCAGAGATGGCTCAGGGCTTCTCAAGGCTCTGTTTGAATTTTTTTACTTTCTCTCCCCAGCCCCTTTTTGTACCACAGGAGAGAGGCTGGCATCTGCCCTGGTGCACACGGAGTGGGGATTTGTCCTGCACTGACAGCAGCTCCCTTCTTTCCCTGTCCATGCCTGGGCCAGCCCTGCTGGTGTGCCAGGCATCCTGGCACAGGCAGGGGTAGGTACATGCCTTATCCTGTCATCTTTCAAAGGGAGAGAGATTCCCTGTCCTTCCCTCACAGACAGAGTGAAAATCCTTCCACTGCTTCTGAGAAACCACCTCATAATCTCACTTCACATCCTTGGAAGTGTTCTCCTAAACTCCAGTCTAGATTTCTTAGCGTCACTTAGGTCATAAAACAAAGAGCAATGGGTACAAATTGGAAGAGGGAAAATTTAGGTTAGATATTAGGAAGACAATTTTTTCTCTGAGGGTGGTGACACGCTGGAACAGGTCATGCAGGGAAGTGGTGGATGCTCCAGACATAGCAAAGTTGGATAAAGCCTTGAGCAACCTGCTCGAGTGGAAGGTGTCCCTTCCTGTGGGAGGGGAAACTGGGTCTGGATGATCCTTAAGGTCCATTCCAAGCTCTTAACATTCTATGATTCTATGGTTTACTTCAACTTTTTCTTATGTGTCACCTCCTCTCTGTCCTCCCTTAAGGGAAGATCCCTTTTGCAAGATCACTTAGAAGGGGCAATCCTTTATCTTCCTTTGTCTTCCTTTATCTTCATTTTGGTAAAACAGTGGTGTAGCAAATATTTCTCCAAATCCCTGTGGTACAGTAAATCTGCTTTTCCCAATTACCCTCTTCTTGCTTCTGTTGCAGTTATGCTGCCTCTTTTTTCACAAATAACCTGACCAGAACTGTGTGTTGTGCTTATTGGCACTTCACCACAGTCACATGTAGCAGAATGAATAATTACTTATCCTAACAGTAAAAAAAAAAGAAAAAAGAAAAAAGAAAAAAAAGTTGGATTATATCAATGTTTTTATACCTTCCTGTTCTTCTCATCTTCTGTCATGTCCTATTAATAACCTCTCAGGATCTAGCAATAATTTTTCTCAGTAGATGTACATTTCTTGGCACTTTCCTGACTACACTTTTTTCATTTTTATTATCCCAGGACTTGAGCAGGTCTGTTTCTTCCTGTCAGACATTCTTCTCCTCAGTTTATTGACAGCACATCCTTGCTGCCAAACCAAATGATCAATTTCCTACTTTTTTTTTTTTTTTTTTTTTTTTTTTTTTTTTTTTTGTGTCAGGGTCACTGATGAAAATACCAAGTAAAACTGGTCCCAGTGCTGATCCTCAAAAAGTGCATCTGAAGAGTGCACAGGAAGGTCTTCCTATCATACAGTCCATTCCCATATGCCTTTTAAGGGGATCTTTTGGGCCTGGCAACTCTCTATCAATTCCATCTCTCTCTGTTTTGGTGAAAATTCTCCATGTGGCTCATTACATGGAATGCTTTCCTCAAGTCCAAAGAGATGGGAGCCAGAGCACTGCCTGGCTGCAGAACATAACTTCTGTTGCAAGCATAAAAACAGACTAAGTTAGTTTGGCTTGGTCTAAACTTGGTAAATTCAAGTTCCATTTTATCCCATAATCCTTTTAGCTTCATGCCTTTCACTAATTTTTCACTTGAAAATGTGTCCTATAGCTCTAACATATTATTGAGGTCAGCTTAATTGGTCTATACTTGGTGAATTCCTTTTTCTTCCATTTTGTAAGGAGCAATATGTTCTTTCTGATCAATAGTCAGTGTCCCAGACTTCTGAAAATCTGATGGTCATTGCTGTTACTTCTGTCACATTTTGAAATTTCGTCAGCTCAGCCCCCCTAGCTGAGATTGACTTATATCTTTAGATAAAATCTGTTCCAAAGTGTCCTCCCCTTCATACATTCTACCTTTAACCCCACAGGACAAAATTCGTAGTTGTATTTTTAAAACTAATTGTTATCCTCAGCATTACCATCATCATCAACATAAATATTCCCTGTACATCATCCCACATATCAAGACAGGCAGAAAGAATATTTTATATTTTGGTTCTGGAAGACAGTTTAGGAAACACATTTCTTTCTTTGCTCTTCACTTCCTTTGGGAGCATCTTTTACCCCTTTATGTTTTTTCTAACAAAACCAGGAGAATCAGTACCCTGTTCCTCCTGTGCTTTGTCAGACTTGCCTGAACAGATGGCAAATTCTCTAGGGCAAAATTTGCCTCTAACTATGTGCCTGATCTGGGTCTATTATTTACTAGTGATAGTAATCAAAGATAAAAATGTTAATCTCACTTCCTTTTTTTTCTTTACCGAAAGAGGTGAACTGATATCAGGAAATATGAGAATTAAGTTTTTGAATAGAAATTTGCATGATATTTTCAAAAAGGCAATGTACCAGTAAGAAGTAGTGTTCTGTAATAATTTTGCAAAAGTTTCTGTTTAATAAAGTACACAGAAAAACTCAAAAGGTATTTAACAGTAATGACATGGTTTTAGTTTCTTAAGAGATTTATTTGCTTTTTTTTTTTTTAGTCCCAGCCATAGAAATATAAAATGTAGCATCGTATCCAAAGGTGCAGGGAAGGGACAAACTACAATTTCAGTATGTTATAAAAAAGATAAAATAAGTCTTCCAAAACATCATAGAAGTCACTTCCTTGCAGCTGTGTCTGTGGCTTATATGACTTAAATGTTCCAGATTCTATTTTGTAGCATCCTTGATGGTTCCTTTCACCTCATAAATGCCCAGTAAAATAGAAGCAGCTTGTATTTTTCAATTCAGGGAACTGCAGTTATGTGCTTTGCTCTGGGATCAGATTGCAAATCAGTCATATTTTTGTGGCATACTTCTATAGATTGAAATTTTATCGAGTTTCTCTCACTCAAAAAACTTCTGACTCTCCCTCCAATACCCTCCTTAACCCAGTCTGAAACTTTACAAGAGTGAGTATATTAATGTGATTCTGAATTGCCCATTCATCCTATGGTAAAACAATTTCTCGAGCACAAAAGAGCTATTTCTTTTAACAAATAAAGATAATTATCTACTGACCATTTATCTAAAAAAGCAATAAAAGACAATAGCTTTAAAAAACTAAAGCCCAAACATTAGTATAATTTATGGAACCGTGCTAATTAATTTGCCTGAAAACTTTTCATTTATATGCTTTTGTTTCTCATAGGATTTCTTACAGGCAGTCTCTGAAATCTGAAGTAACAAGAAGCTCCCTAATTTCCAGGTGTAACAATGGTCATAATTCATTCTAGACTTGGTTGAAAAAGTTGCTTCTCACTCCTTCACCATGCTGAAAAATCAATAAGAAGAGGTGTGGACAAGATCTGGCTATAACTGGAATAAATGCTGGGATTAGGAAGGAGGAAATGGGTAGTGCAACAAGT